TTTTTCTTTTTTAATAAATTTGCAAAAATTTCTACATTTCTGTTTTTCTCTGTCAAGATGGGGTGCTGAGTGTACGTTAATGAGAAATAAAATGAACTGAATACTTGGCTGGCTGGCTGGCTGGCTGGCTGGCTGGCTGGCTGGCTGTGGAGTCGTATAATGGGAAGAGATTATTGTATTCAAAATCAGTTTGAATAAATGATTGACATTAAACTCACTGCTGCACTGATTCCTGTTCTCTCTCTCATCTCTCCTGTTAGGCATCATGACGCTGTGTGTGTTTGACCAGATGAAGAATGCATCCATCCTTGGGGGGTTTAATGCGTCAGTCAAGGGCAGCCCCCCCGCCATGAGCCAGTATGTCACTGTGGGAGGTGGGCCATACACAGGCTTTTACTATGCTGTAGAGGTGAGAGAGAGCGATGGAGCAAGTCGGGCTGTTTATTTCCCAAAAAGAATGACTGTAATGACTAATTATTACTCTCTCTGTCCGTCTGTAGGGAAGCTCCCAGCCTCTCCTCTCTCACGTGGCTCTCGCTGTGGCCAGTAAACTTACCTCAGCCCTCTTCAGTGCTGCCAGGTGTGTGTGTGTGTGTGTGTGTGTGTGTGTGTCCATGTCTGTATAAGCCAGATTCCTTCATTAATTAACATAAACATAATTTGACTTTTCTAAAAACGTACCGTAGATTAGACAAACAATAGTTAAAGAAAGCACGTAAAGTCAATAAGTAATAATTCCAATGCACGAAACTAACACCACATTTCAATTTGTGTAGTTCATTTGTTTAAAGACAAATAGGGTTGCCCAGTGTTTCCGTGCACCAGTGCGGGCCTTTATTTCCTGTCACATACACAATTGAAGGCTAAATACAGCACTATTGACAACTCTGTATTGCTGCAACAGCGCAATCAATACTCTGACTTATAGCCTGTTCTCTGCTCAATGCCAGCTTAATCCATACAGGGGGGTAGTTTGCTTTCAGTCCCTTCTCCCTTATTACTTATAAGTAATACTCTTGTCTCCCTTAATGCCTTGCCTTAATATTTTCTTTTTGCATCATCATATTTGTCTCTTGCTAACTTTCTCTGTGTTCATATCTCATCATTTCTTCTTGCTGTTTTTCCTCCCAGTGGATGGCTAGGTTGGAACAAGCACAAGAATGAAGAGGTGGTTGTTCAGAAACAGAAGCCCAAGGTGGAGCCTGCAACACCTTTGGGGATCAGGTAGCAATCATGATATCTCGACACAAATGCAGCAATGACCTTTTGTGCCTTATTGATATTGGCAATATGAAGCTTGTTGATTCCCCTCCGTCGTCCTTTCTTTTAAATCCGACCTCTTCCACCCAGATTTGGTCTTCCAGACTCCCGTCGTCACGGCGAGTCCATCTGTCTGTCCCCCTGCAACACGCTTGCGGGAGTAACGGATGACTTTGGTCGAGTCACACTGCTGGACTTGGCCAGGGGCATTGCCATCCGCATGTGGAAAGGTGAGGACAGAGTAGAGAGGAAAGACCAAGGACTCAGAACTGAATAATATAGAGGTTTTAAAAAGGTTAAAGGAATAGTTTGGATGTTTTGAAGTGGGGTTGTATGAGGTACTACAGTAGATGAAGGTTGGCATACCCCCAGTTTGGAGAAACAGACAGGAGTACCAGCACAGGAGCAAAATAATGTACTGCTGTGTACGCTATAATAAGTATATTTTTATTGCTTTACCTTTATGTCATACAGCCCTTTCCGTTGGGAAACTCAAGTAGTTATATCTATGATCTCTTCTGACAAAACAGTAATTTTACCTCACGGAACACAGGAGTTGCTGGTCTACCACTTCCTCGATTGGTTAGTTAGTTAGAGTTATTGTGTGACTTTGGAAAATCTGAGCTAACCCTTCAAAACATCAAGTCACACAACACTAACTAACTAACTGATCGGGGCAGTGCTAGACCAGCAACTCTCGTGTTCTGCTCGTTAAAATGACTTTGAACAGTGCATTGATAACGACTTCAGTTCCCGGTCAGAGCAGGCAGTCTGACGTCAAGGTAAAGCAGTGAAAATATTCTAAATATGGCATACACTTAAACCGATATTGATTTTTTATTTTAGGCAGGCCCTTTTTAAGTGGCTAGGATACGTTTAGCTGCTGCCCCCGTCCACAGAAGTAGCCTTGACATAAAACGCCACTCCAAAAAAATCTGAACTATCCCTTGAAGCTGGAGCTCGTGCTAAGAAGGTAGAGGTTTCATATCCCTCCTTTACGTTCCATTTATCTTGTCTCTTTATCGGAAGTATCCATGTGGTCTGAGAGACATGCTAACTATCAAACATTCATAGCCTGCTTCTTTAATATCATAAGACCATTCATTGATTTAACTTAACTGCAGGTTACCGAGATGCTCAACTGGGTTGGCTGCAGGTTCCGGAGGAGCGCGGTGATCGGGAGTTCTCCCCCTCTGCCTCCCTTCCCAGACGCCATGCGTTGTTCCTGGTCATCTACGCACCCCGCAGGGGAATCCTGGAGGTGTGGGGGATGCAGCAGGGGCCTCGAGTTGGGGCCTTCACTGTGGGCAAACACTGCAGGTATAAACAATGCGAAAACTGAAGGCGTCAACTTTTTCCTGATAAAACATAAATTAACTGTGGTTTATCACATCTTTGGAAAGCTGAGT